AAATTCTCGAGAAGAAATTGTAGAAGAATTCTAGTGAAGAAATCCTAAAGGAATTCTTGAGAAAAAATTCTACAGGAATCCTTGAGGAGAAATTCTGGGGAAACTCTTGAGAAGAAAACCGGGAGGAATTCTCAAAGAGAAACTCTGAAAGAATTTTCGAAGGGAAATTCTCGATTAAAAATTCTGGAGAGGGTATTCTGAAGAGAATCAAAAAAAAAATTCCGCAAAAAGTTTTGCGGAAAAATTCTGGAGAAGCTCGTAAGAAGAAATTCTGGAGAAACTCGCATGCAGACATTCTCGAGAAGTTCTGCAGGAATCCGGGAAAATAAATTCCGGTAAAATTCTCAAAAAAAAAACTCCGGAAAAAATCTTAAAAATAAATCCTTGGGAAATCCTGGAGAACACGTACGAAAATTTTCAATAGATAACCCTAAGGAATTCTATAGGAATTTCTATAGACTTTCTATAAGACTTCTATTGAATTTTCTATACGTTTTTAGCCGTTTCTTTTGACGTGTTCGATAGAAAATTTTTTAGAGAAAGTTTATAGAATTTCGTTGTCTATAAAATTTTTTCGGCTCAAATTTTCAAAGTTTTTTCATTCGATTTTTTTGAAGAGAAGAAAATAAAAAATATCTCAAAAAAACTTGGAAAATTTGAGTCGAAAAAATTCTATAGAAAAATGAAATTCTATTGACTTTTTTTTCTATTGACAATTTTCTAGGTAATATTTCCTATCGAACATGTTAATAGAAACGACTAAAAACGTAGTGAAAATCAAATAGAAGTTCTATAGAAATTCCTTTTTTAGGGTTTCCTATTCGAAATTTTAGTACGTGATATATTTCAAAACCATGGATGCATATTCTCACCCATATCTTATACCCATATCTCCCGCCACGAGAGTCACCTGAACCTTGATGTCTTTAAAATTTCCGCCAGCCCACCCTAATTTTCTTCATTCATAGGAAGGGATGTATATCAAATTGATACATAACTTAGAAATATGTACTAAAAAAAATTTGTTTGAAACATATATGAATATTATTACCCCCACCCCATACGGGAACCCAGTGGCGCTGAACTTTGTCTGAATATTGATGGCATTCTTTCATTATTTACCCCCCTCCTTTTGATGTTTCCATTTATGTTGAGAGATATGTATATATATTGTACATGACATAGCAATATGTCATAGGAAATATATTTCAAAAATATGTATGAATATTCGCGACATGCCCGCACGGAATAGAGTATAAATGCGACATATTTGTCAATTTTAGGTAATCAAATATATCTTCCATATATATTACACATATGTCGCATAAAAATATCCACATATATGTTTTTCCGCGGTGAGCGATGAGCGTCAACGACATACATTTCAAAAACATAAATAAATATTACCGCCCCTCTGACCCTGAATGTCGCCTGAATCTTGGCGGCCTTTGAATACCCCCCTCCATTTTTTATCATTGAAAGGGATATATACGAAATATATACATAGTATAGAAATATGTACTAAAAAATATATATTTAAAGGATATATAAATATTATCACCCCCACCCCATAAAGGCTCCCCCCGGCCCTAAATCTTTGCGTATTTTGAATACCCCCCTCCCATTTTTTTTGTTATAGAAACGGATATATGTGAAATATATACATGATATAGGAATATGTGCTAAAAAATATATATTAAAAGGATATATAAATATTATCACCCCCACCCCATACAGGCTCACCCCCCCTGACCCTGAACGTTGCCTGAATTTTCACCCCGCCCCCCTCGCCCTTCTCATTTTTTATGTAGAGATATATGTATATATAATGTAGATATCAGTATATCATCAATATATCATTAGATAACGAAACATATATGATGATAAAATATAATAATATTCTCACCCCTCAACCATACGTTGGGTCTCCACCCCATACATCAATACCTTGCGCGATATTTGACCACCACCCCACTTTTTGAAATTCTATTTTCCCCGCCGCGCCCGTGTACCAGGCCAAACTAGTCAAGAAGTCGATACTACCGCCATCTCGCGGTATCTTCCCTACAGGCCTGTATTACCCCCCAGTATACTAGTAATTATTTTATTAAACTAATGAATAACAACACAATTAACCATCGGATTACCTATATATAATTAATTAATTAATTTTTACATTGTTTTGGGACCTCCCCCCATTGTTTTAACCCCAAAAACAACTGCCCCGTAACTGAGGGGCAAGATACTCGCCAGGGCTCCAATTCTCAATTTCTGTCATTTATTCTATTCATTCTATAAAAAGACAAGGATAGAAATCGAATTCATGGGTATTCTTCCATTATTCAAAAAATATATCGATTTTAAAACTTTCCAGGGACTGAATAATTAATATTTTATTTCTTCCCGCATACGTTTTTTGTATTTTTTTCATTTCTTCTCGCTGATATTAATATCCCTCTAATACTTGAAGAAAAAAAGTGATGCGAAGTTTCCGCCCACATAAAAGAAAAAAATCATTTTCTAGTAGATTATCCCTTTCTGATTGTTTTTTTCATTTCCTTTTCATAATAACAATTGGAATCCGACCATAGGGAGGCGGAGTACCGATATCTTTTTACCACATGAAGGGAAAAATGAATTTTTAAAATTTTCAGGAATACATAGATAGATTTTCCTTTACCTGAATGAGATTCCGAATGACTTGCTTTGTGTGTTTGTTTTGATCACAAAAACATTTTATTGAACTTCAACATAATTCATCTTCATTCAATGTTGTAACTTGTGAATTAAGGGGAAAAAATATATAACGATAATAATAATAATAATAATAATAATAACACGGTTTCATTGTCGAACGGGAGTCTCGCAAGAGACGACTGTACCTGGGCAGGTTCTTCCCTCAAATGAGGTTTTCCCTTGTCCTTCGGTGAATGCGGTACAAGGGATTGGGGGGTGGGAAGGGAACAAATCGTAAAGACCCGAAAGGATATACGAGAAGAAATTTTTTTTAAATAATAATAATAATAATAACAACAATGAATAAAATTAAATGAATTCACTTGTGAAGGCGGAAATGGAAAGAAAATAAAACAAAATAGCATAAACGAATCGAGTTCGCTAGTTCCTCATTAATGAGATAATTTCAGGCATGTATAACTTACCACACTTTCCTCTTCATGTTTTTTAAGGTGAGTGATGTCATTCAGAAGTAGAAATAGAACTTTTTAGTTTTAGCATTACCGTCAAACATCGCTTTCAACTGTACTACATTTTTTAAAATAAGGACTTTATTGTTACGTAAAATATACGTGACGAACAGTCGTCCTTAAAAAGTAAATAAACACTTGACAAATAAATTATTGTGCGTAAAAACACTAAAAATGAATAGTATAATCCAAGTCAACTAAATAAAATTGCATTCTGTTACAATACTTTGACCACTGTGTGTAAAAAATATAAAATCGCATTGAAAATTGTTTCATTTTCAGTATTAGTATGATATAGATATCATTGAGACTAGGAATTAATGCTTCGTTTTTTTTTCTTTTTCAATTTTTTAAAAATAGTAATTAAAGACTAGAGACTGTCATAATCACAAAGAAATGAGTTAAATTAGTAAGCTACAAATCTTTGTCAATTTTCTCCAATAAATAAAATCGTAAAGTCTTCAAACGTAGTAAGTCGGTTTTTTACTCTTTTTGAATATATTGAATTATTCCAAACATCAGAGTTGTTTAGGATAAGATCGAACATCTTTCCTGTAAGATGCTTTGTTTACAGAAATGTCATTTTTTACTCAAGGTGAATGATCGCTTGGGAACAGTAGTTGAATCAAAAAATTACAAAAATTAAAAATAATAATAATAAAAAATAATGATAATTAATAATAATAATAATTTTTAAATTATTATAAAAATTAAACAATTTATTATTAAATTTTAATAATAATTTTTAAGTTAGTATAAAAATTATTATTAAAATTATCTTGTGGTTGAAGTTTCTACGCGCTTAGGGAAAAAATTGTAATGTTTATGCGTATTTGGTAGGGAAAAATAAATAGTGAGACAAAATAAATACTTTAGATGCTTGAAATCGATCAGCACAAGAGCAAGAAAAGCGACATTCCCAAATCCGCTTACGTTACATGTGAATTACATTTGACCATTTCTATGTGCTACTGAATTTCATTCTCCTACTGTCACAGGAGAGATTGAATATGGATAGTATACCAGGAAAAATGTATTAGTTTTGATTACATTAATAAATTTTGTAAAATAAAATCATTGAAGGAGAAAAAACTCACAAAGTTGCAATTTTCTTTGTTTTCTCTCAGGAAGAAAAAAAAAACAAAATTGTTTGCTTATTCAGGATCGTCAATTTCACCCATTTGGAGGACGCTCACGATTCCAGCCGCAGCGATACTCGCTCTGTAAGTCTCCGGTTCGAACCAGTGAATCGGTCGCTGTAAATGGAACTTATTAAACCGAAAATTCATGACAAAAATGTACGAATTTTTAATAAACAAATTCATCCAGCAGTCTTACCTCAAGCACTGTGACAATCGTTATGTATGAATGATTATCGAACAAGCTTTTAGAAATTAAGAAATCAGTAGAAATGATGAATCAGTAACGAATTCGAAACATAATTCACGTAATATCATGCAAGTAGCTGTCAAATTTGTGACTTCAGAGAAACATGTTGAAAGACTTAATATTGTAGAGGATTTTGTGGACTTCATGAGACATTTTTTACATCTCGCTTCCACGACAAATTATATGATTACTTTGATTTAAATCAGCGTTTAACGGGAACTGTACATAACAAAAAACTTCTACAAATAAGACCTCCCAACGTTTTTCTCTACATCTCTACAAGATGTTTCCAAAATAATCTGTATGGGCTTTATAATGTTATCACATCACTGCACGAATTACGAGTAAAGAGTTATTAGTCCACATACCAATTAGGTTTTTAAGTTCATTAATTCAAGTGATATGTCAAGTGAAATTAGTTTTATTGTATACGATATCACAAAATCAATGTTAATCAACAAACTCTCACAGCATCTTATTAATCAGTTAAACATTTGATTTGCCACCATTTTTGTTGATCCTAAATCAATGTTTTTATTTTTCGTCACACGCTTTTCTCTTTAGATTTACGGGTTTATTTCAAACTGATGGTAATATCGTAATTAACGATATATTAGAGCTAATATCTGTTTAATTAAATTTTTGATTTATTTTGCATCAAAATACTTTGTCTTAATAATTTTTATGATAACTTTGGTTTTTTTTCCACTTTGATGCTGCAATTTGCGACATCTTCAAGAAAATGTAGCCCTTTATCCTCCCCAGGTACAAATACCAATCATTCCCTTCACTTTTAAGTACAAATTCAATTCGATTTCAAAAGATTGACTCATTCGAATTGAGAGAATCACTAGGTTATCACAAGTCTTTCAAATGGTTAATTTCAGGCTCGAAAATTTCTAACTCACGAAATTATCGATTCTTGTATTGGAATAACGAATTGAGAATACGTCCATAATTAATTATTAATTCAATAGCGAGGTGGTGCAGATCATTTCAGAACAAATAAATTTGTAGATTATCATGCCAATGTCTTTAAAAAATAGTGATTTAGAATAAAACGGTGAAAAACTTTTTTTTGCAATTCTTGGCTTGCAGAGGTCTCTCAACGTTTCGCTCTAAATCGATTAATTTTCGATGAATTTGGTGAACTCAATGAACAAAACAGTTACCACGTCACTGCAGAGTTAATGAATGAGTATTCAAATAATAAAAGAAAAATATGAGAAAATTAAGAGATTCAAAATATATAATAGAGAAAGTATCTCAAGATCATCAATATCTCGAGTATACTTCTCTTCTTGCCCAAATTATCTACTAGTCAACTTTTAAATTGTGATTTCAGTGATTGAAATCAAAGAACACCACGGTAAAATAATAAGCCAATCAATGTTAAACGTTACGCACTTGTAATAAAAAACATAAAGAAAAAAATAATACTTCTGCTTAGAATTGAGAGAGTAAAAGCAGAATGGCAAAGATAATATGAATTATTTATGCTACAACACTTAATGAAGAATTAAAATAATGATATGATTGGAATGCAGGAAAATATAAAAAAATGTCTTAGTATGAGACACGATGACGATCGCAGTGGTTTTGGTAAAAGATACGATCGTCGATTGAACCGTTAGAAAATCCAATCTGCGAGTTAATAAAAGCACAGCTGCCAGTTGAGTGTCGTGACTCTACCTTACGAATGATTGTTGGACATTCTTTTTGAATTCTGTCCCAATCAGCTGGTGGACGTTTGGCATAGGGGCCGGTTGCACAGAGCAGTAAAAATTCATAAGTCAACTCCCGATTCTCTGAAAAAATTTGAAAGGAAATGTAGTCCGAGTGTTGAGATTGAGACAAACTCGAATGTAGGCGCAAATAACTTAGAAAAATAAGGTCAAGGGGCCTTTTTTCTATACTTTTTTTCGATACAAAGATAGCATTTTGTTTTTTTGTGTCGTAAAATTTTTAATTTTAAAATTGTTGAGGTGAAAAAATGATTATCATTTTTTACCATTTGTCTTTTTGGGAGTCACATTCTTTACAATCTGCTGTGGCTTGTAGGTCTCTTCACTCTTCGGTGTATTAGTGTTTTCCATACTTGTCTCTCTCGTGTTGAAATTCAAATTTCCACCTGAATTGTAATTAGAGCTAACGGAATTTGGAGAAGGATAACCAACCTCCTCATCAAAGTTGAAAAATTCAATTCCACTGGTGAATTGCGTAGCCTCGTCTGTCCATCGGGAAAAGTGCTCATCGAGAACCAATTTCGCTGTCTAAATCCCATTGAAAAATTAAATTAAAGACAAAAAGAAACATTAAGGATAATCGGGCGAGGAGGAAATGTAGGAGGTGAGGCGGAGGGGTTTCTATTGTTTTCCTGCAGAAAATCAATCGCTGAACAAAAAAAATTTTCCCATTCGGATTCAAAATTCAGGCAATATTAAGGAGTATCTCCGATTAAAAATTATTTTTGTAGCTAATCAAATTTATTTCTATCTGTTCCACGCATTGAATGGTTTTCAGGTTGTTTTTTTTAATGAATGAAAAAATATTATTCCATGCGAAAAAGTGGCAACATCGTCGGTAGTTTTTTTTTCACCAGGAGCTGGTACCACAAGCTCGAGGGAGCTCCAATCACAAAATGCTTCATCGCTCTCTCTCAAGAGACGGTTAAATTGACGGCACTATCGCCACCCGATCGGTACTTGGGACGTTGCTGCTCGTTTGGGCTGTGTGCGCAAAAATTTCATTTTTCAGTACTTTTTTCGCTATTATTAATAAACAATGCTGCTAGGCGACAATCATTTTCACTCAAAAAATCACTGATCACATGTTCTAAATGTGTATAAAGTTTCATGACTTTGGCTGCATTTTTTCCTTGGGTTTTGCAGTTTTTTTGGTGATATCCATAAGATCACGGGTTAAATGACCACTTTTTCAAAAATTCATAATAAATTAACCATGCTCCCCAGCAGTCTGAAACTTTGCACACCCCTTTTCCATCATTTAAAGGATACGTAAAAAAGAAAGAAAAAAATGGCTGCTTTTTTTCCAACCCTCCGGGCTCGCCCGATTATCCTTAAATGTGCATTTTTGGAAAGCCGATGCCAAAAGACATATCTCTCATTAATTATAAAATTAGAGAATAAAAAACAAGTAACACTAATTCTGAACACTGTAAAATCCTATGAAATGATAATAATAATAACAATAATATTAATAATTACTCGAACAAGATCGTGGTTGCATCCGGTTATCTTGAGCGCTTGATTACCCACAGTAATCGTGTATTTGTATTCACCAATACTGGCGTCGTTTGTCGATAAACTGTGCAGCAGGGATGATCGCAGACGAGTCGTGTGCTGATTCTGCTGTTGCTGATGCAGACGATTACTCTCGTCAGAAGCGCTGCTGTTCAATGAGGAACTCGACCCTCCAATTCCACCTTTTTCTACCCCAACGTGCTCCAAGCGCACTGGAGAAGCGTTTCGTTGTATCGTGTCTTTGATTAAATCCTTGGCGTAACTAAAACACAAAAAAAATTCAATACTTGAAATTTGCATTCATTTTCAAATTTTGTATTCAATTATATGATGATATTGCAGCAGGGCGATTTTCCGACGAATTTCAAATAGTATTATTCATTGTATAAGTTCTTATGTACAAAAGGCGTCCCCAGACCATTCTTGAAAAATAATATGGGCTATTAAATTTTATTACTTATTGTATTAAGCAATTACTAAATTAATAATCCACTCACTGTATCTTGTCCTCGGAAGTTCCCGTTATTTGGACAAGTCGTTCTTTGGCTCCAGGATTCACTGAAATATCCATTTGTCAATATTAAATCGATGCTTCACTGTTTCAAACTGTCATTATTCATTTATTTTAGCTAGCACAGCTGGGGTTCGGTTCAGATCGTAGTGTGATGATATGAAGTGAGATGGGACCTTTCGTTTTACATTGTATTAGCATAGGAAAGAAATGACAACCGTCTCACTTGACACGATCACACTACGACCTGAATCGGACCCCTGTTAAAACAGTTTAATGTCAGTTCACATACATTTCTTTTGTTAGTATTGCCATAACTATCGCTCGGAAGTTACATGCGTTAATATTGTTATGATGGATTAAATTCTCTAGTTAAATGCTGCAAGTCGATTAATCAAAAATTAATTTGCAGATCATATTCCAAATGTCTTAACAAGGACGGAGTTTAGACAGAGAAAATCCATTTTTGTAGAGAATTTTGCAATTGCGAAAAACAAACGAAATGTCTATTGACATTTCTCTCTAAGCCCAATCTTTTACCAGATATTTGCAGAATAGGCTGCTTGGAATTCATTTTTGAAATTGAATTCATTACTCCGTTACGAAATAGATTGAATACTTTATCAATGCTTGATGATTTTTACTCGATTAGATGGCTGAACAACTCTTTGTTTCATGTTAAAGTGGGTGAGTCGATGCACGATGCACTTGCAAGTTTATTATCGTTTTGGGCTTTGTCGTTTGGTTTTTTGTGTATTTTTACCTCGCTGGAAGGAGATGATCGTCTCGCTGAGCTCTTCGATCATGTGTACCCGTCTCCCTTTTATGCCCATCACTGTTTTATTGTGCAAATAGAGGTTGATAATAGACAAGACCATTTTTTAAAATATTTCATTTCCACTGACGAAACAGAATCTAATTCCATTGTTCTACGGATTTATTGTACGAAAGGGTAATAAATTTTTACTTTTTTTTCAATAATCTTTGCAATTTAGTTTCACTTTTTTTATTTTAATTCTCGTGTTCAAAATTGATGAACAAAATTAATAATCTATATTTGATAGAGAAGATTCCATAATTTGATGGAATCAGTTTTTGTGTGAAACAAAAAAAAATGAATTCATATTGTTATGTTCATTGAATTCTTTTTCTCTTTCTACAATTAAATTCAAAACATTCCTTACCTTTTCCAGAATCGCTATTGCGAATAACGACTTCATCCTTGCAGTAATTTTTACCAGGAATACGGGTGGGCTTAGTGAACTTGCCGCTGTTCTTAATAACATCACTAATGCTCAGGACAGATGGTGTTTGTGAAGACGACAGGCCCATGAGATTGCTAGCAATTGGTGCAGTAGGTATCTCAAGAATACCGACATCAAAATCATCCAAATTGGCTAATTTCTGAGTGTAGTAAGCATCCATGGAGTCGCTGTGACGCCACTGCTTCGCCCTGAGCTCGATGAGTTCAAGCAAATGAACCCTGGTCGTCAAATCGAGTCTTTCGTCCTGACTTCCATTCCTGATAGCAACAAATGCCCTGTCGAGTTGATCTTTATAGACAGCCTCGAGTTGTGGCGCACAGTGTTTCAATGCATTGCACATTGTCACAATATTTGGCTGAAGTGATGGATCATGGAAGCCATTTGTCAGGTGTGATACGACATTGTCAATCAGAGATACCAGGTCCTCTGCTGTCGTTATCCTCCCATCGATTGCTGAGTGTCGTTGTTGGATTTTCAAGGGACGCGGTTTCTCAAGCTTTTTCATTGTTCGAGGCCTCTGGGACAGCTGCGTAGTGGCCATTTTTTGGTTTTGTCTTTATCTGGGAAAGAACAGGAACAAGGGATTAGGATCAGTAATGACAAGAGGGGCCCCTCTTTCTATTGGTTGAGTACCGAATAGCCTCCATAAAATGTCCAATTACTGGGGAGTACGAGAAAAAATAAGGAACAATATAAACATCAAAATAATCTATGGATAATAATTAACGTCATCGAACCGTAAAAATTCTAATTTCCAACAACCAAGATTGAGTCGCAAAAGGGCCATGGTGATAGTTTTATGAATATCTTCGAGAGAAATGAGTTTAGAAAAGAAGCCCAAGAGAGCCCATTTCTTAGAAACATTTTTTGCAAATTCAGAAATGTTATTATTTCAGGTATGGGTTTACAAAGGTTGTGACGACGAAGAACAGAAGGGGCGGGAGGGCAGACAAAGACTATTTTCAAAACAGTGTAGGTTTTATTCACAGCGAGCATTACAACAAAGGAATTGATTCTTTCAAGATTATTCTTCCTATAAACAATGCATGCAGGGTTCTCTTTGGTTTGAACATTATTGACATGATCAAAATATTATTTACGTCATTGGTGAAAAGTAGGTGTTGGATTGGAATGAAAGTACGGGAGAGAGAAGGAGAGTGATAATAACATATAAGGAATTGTCGTTGATGAGTGAGCAACGTGTCTAATTTGATTCAATGATTATTGTTCTTAGCTCAAGCCATGATTTATGGATGGGATTATGGAGGTGAGTCTGAGGGTCCAGGATAACTATTTTTGTTGCTTTTTTTCCACGGCAGAGATGAAAAATATCCTTACCGATAGGCAGATGGGTTCGTCTCGTCTCTTTTCGTGTCGTCGTTTCCACACCTACACGCCAGTTGAGTGGGCGTTAGTTTATGGTTGTATTAGAGTTTTGTTCGTGTGTATGGACTAGTTACATTTGGGGTCCCTAGAGAACTTGATATTTACCCTTGTTATCAGAGACCTCAGAGATTCACAGAGATTATAGGGGAGATCAGCAGGGCTATGTATTATTATTATTATTATTATTATTATTATTCAAGCCTGTTTGCGCAGGCGCTGTGGCTTTTTCCGTCACCAGAATGAGGGTTGAGGTCACGCCCCCAAAAGGCAAGCTTCAGAGTACTACAAACTTACGAATAAAAACTTCCTATCATCTGGATTGTTATGTCCTACCGAAGTAACTAAGAGGACAGTAGCGCCAATGAAATTTAGAGCGCCAATTTTTGACTGTAGATTCATTTGCCGCCAAAGCTCTGATGAGCACTCCANTTTAGAGCGCCAATTTTTGACTGTAGATTCGTTTGCCGCCAAAGCTCTGATGAGCACTCCATCGAAGTCCAATTGTTTAATCCCAGAATATTTGGTTGGAAGGGTTGAATTGTGAAATAAATTCAATACAAGTGCTTAAGAGAGCACACAAACACTTTTAGTCAAAATACTTCAACTTCAGACTTCAAACTTTGCACTACAAAAAATGAATTTAATAAACTCTAGAAAAACTCTACTGAAAAACTATTTGAAGAGAGAAGCTGGAAGCTGAAGGCTTCACCACCAATTTCCACGATGGAACTGATTTAAACTTAAACTTAACTCCAAGGGTTGGGTCCAACAACCCCACTGGACCAAAAGTTGCGCACGCAATCCTAGCCTAGGGGAGAGGGAAAAGTGAAACTCAAGGAAAAGCGGGGAAATGAAAAAGGGGAAGAAGGGGAGCGTGTGACGTCGTGAAACTACGTCGCGAAGGGTCTCAGGCCCTCAGCCTAGCGAAACAATGAACAAAGGAGAGCCCACACGTGTTGGTCACGTGAAACAGAGAAACTTTCGAAATAACCAGAACTGAGATTTTACGACATGGGACCGTAACCGTTAAATTTATTTTCTTCTCTAAATTTTGAATTTTCGAGGAAAGTGTTTGCTCAACGAGAATTTTCGAGGGTTGTAAATTATAAGAAGAAAACTCAAGTATTTGACATTTAGTATTTCCGTAACGGTTTTTCTCACGCTTGCGNTGAAGAATGCAAACCATTCATTTAAATCTCGCAATAATCTGCGAAAAGTCATTCGTTAATCTATTATTATTGATTTAATCCCATTATGTGTATGAGATTTGTTGAGATATAATCTCTCACAAATATTGAATATATTTCTCATCAAAATAATTTGAAATTCATTCATTACCTTTGTATCACTGACAAAATATGTAATAAATGTGAATAAGATGAATTGCTCGTATTTTTTTTATATTTNCAACGAGAATTTTCGAGGGTTGTAAATTATAAGAAGAAAACTCAAGTATTTGACATTTAGTATTTCCGTAACGGTTTTTCTCACGCTTGCGATGCTGTTCTCCCGTTCTCTTTGTCCATTGTATTCCAGACTTTCTTTATTCTTCTATTTCTGGTATATTTTTTAATGTTCTGAACTATTTAAATTATTTTCCAACAATAATTCGAATCGCGCGGACTATTATAGCCGATTAATAGGCCATCTATAAATTTCAACGTCAAGACATCACAGGATTTCTTATTTTCAAAAGGATAATCGGGCGAGGAGGAAATGTGNGTTGTATGAACGAAAATGGGATAATCAAGCGGATGAGTGAATGCAAAGGACGTTTCATGTTANATCAAAATAATTTGAAATTCATTCATTACCTTTGTATCACTGACAAAATATGTAATAAATGTGAATAAGATGAATTGCTCGTATTTTTTTTTTTATTAAAGATCTAGTTGTATAGAAATTCAAATAAATGATCCTCTTTCGCTCAAGACTTCATAATTCCTTCTCTCCCTCTCCTTTATGATCAACTAATTTACAAATTAAGACAATAAGAAGTTGTATGAACGAAAATGGGATAATCAAGCGGATGAGTGAATGCAAAGGAGGTTTCATGTTAGATTTAAGATTGGGAACGCATCCCTGTTATCGACTGTTTCCATGGTATTAGATGAAAATTTCTTTACCCACAGAGACGGCCTCTCGATTAGTTTATGGCACCACCGCTATGAAACTCTGATCGAACCAGAGATTATAGGGGAGATGAGCAGGGCCAATGTAAAGTGTTCAACAGCAAAATTAGTAGCGGTGGCGCATGGACTACGATGGAGCGTACGGAACTGTTGGTATGGTAGGGCCCGAGCATAAATGTGTCGATAACCGGAAAGGGGTTCTCAATACAGGAGCTCCTCGCATTTTGTAATAATTGTCAGGAATGCAAAATCGAACATATTATAATCAATAGTATAATGGCTGCAGAATCTAATGATCTAAAAGTCGTTTCCTTTTTCTCGACATATTTATTATTGACAAAAAATTCATAAAAAATCCTAGCGCTGTCGCTGGAATACTCCATAGTTTTCCGGTGATTCTATTGAATAATTGTGCAGATTTTGTTTTTTCTTACTATAGTAATGTTCGATTATATATATTTATTCCCCCCTGAGTGAGAAAGGAATATGTATCGCGCTCCCTCCCACTCATTGTCGTCTCCGTCGCGTTGGCACGTGCCCGTCCTCCGCCAAACTTAACGAGTGCGAGTGAGAAAGAAAATGGAGAAGGAGGAGAGAGAAAACATTCCAACTCGTTTCAACGGTGGAACGTTTTCGTTGTTCTCCAGCGATCTACACATAATAGGATTAATTCAATAATAATAGATTAATTAATAAGGTTTTTCGCAGATTATTGCGAGATTTAGATGAATGGTTTGCCTCCTTCAGTGACCATAAAAAATTGTCTCCAATCGACAATATCTCCCGATGGAATGGAACGATGTGAATGAATCAATT